AGGAATAGGTATCAAGTTATCTATGTTAATGCATTTAGTGAATTGAGTTATTATATTTTTATCAAAATAAAAGGCCATTGGTGGCTGTATTTCATGGCACAAAAAACACCGTTACCCGCCAGACAGGTTTCTGTTCGGTTAAGCACATACGGTCATCCGACTTGCATTATTTCTAACCGTTGCAGCCCTACTGATTATAGGGGACACCCAGGCAAGTTTGGCCCCGGGGTAAATCTGGCCGGGGCAAGTTCGGCCCATGCATTGAACATATTTATAAAAAGTTGTGAAGTTGGCAGGAAAACCTGACGTGCTTTATGATGTCATAATTATGCTGACTTGGACCAAACTTACTCCAGACTGTCTGTACGGACTTGCCAAGGCAAGTCATCCAATCTTCAGACAGAAAAAGTTGAAGAATTCTTTGAATGTGGACATGTTAGCCCTTTTGTTATTATTTTATGAAATGCGCATGAGATATCAGAACGACTTAAAAATCAGTGGGCCGAACTCGCCCCAGTCTCCCCTAACTAGAACTGTTTTTTTTTATTTTTTTTTTATTTGGCCGAATGAAAATTAATTCAATATATACAGTTGACACTCATGTTTGATTGGCTGTTGTATCAATACGATCGGAGCTCTAAGTAGACGATGTGCTCTAGATTAAAGTATAAGGTGATGCTCAGAGTTGTGGGGGTAGGTCGAGGGGCTGCTTCATTGTGTGTAGATATACATTTATACTATTTACACATAGGTACAATTCAGGGGTTGACACTATAACTTTTAATAGGTGGTGGACCGCAGGTCCACCTGCTCTCTTGATCTGGTGGACCTGGTTAATTTCTGGTGGACCTGAATAATATTCTCAGATCTGGGGCGCCATGCGCCCCGGTCGACGAGCGTAGCGAGGAGTGGGGGGTGGGTTCGGGAGGGGGTAGCCCCCTCCTGAATAAGAGGGGGGTACGGGGGTCCTCCCCCGAAATTTTTTAAAAGCTAGATGCAAAATCCTGGCATCTGAGGGTTTTAAACAAATAATGAAGGTTTTTTAATTTTCTGTAAAATACTTGTTTTTTCTCCTTATTTTTTATTTTTTTCCATTTATGAACAAGTTTTAGTAAATGACACAGAAACATGAAACAATTTTCTCCTTGTTTATTTTTTTTTACATAGCTCCCATCCAAAGGTGTTTGAAATTCTGACTGTAAATTGAGATAAAGATCATATGAAAAAATAAGGATAAAATAATATACTTTTTTATAGTATTATACCTTTTTTATATGATTTTTATCTCAATATACAGTCAGAATGTCAAACAAATTTGCCCCAACAGTAGTCTCAACGTATTTTGTTGCAACTCTATTCAATCCTTCCTGGACATTTCGGAATCATCTTCTGAGTTCAGCATACCCTACATTTCATTAAGTTTGTGTCAGTATCATTATTTAGCCATGTAAACGATTTTCCCATGACTCCTGAAAGGATATCATCCTTTTTGTTGCCCATACAAACTTCGTGTTGTTTTTGTTCTGTTGAAGTTTTTAACTTTTTTTTGCCAGTGGTTGTAAACCAAGCCATTTAAAAATCGCGACACAGGCGATACGGTACTAGTCTAGTACAGATACTAAGTGAATCGACGGACACGATCACCTAAACGATATACGCTAGAATACGATAGAAATTAAAACTTAACACAAAATTGTGAGGCTAAGTTTACCTTCATATACCGGTTGACCACCGTGATCGTGACGTCATCGTCATTTTAGTGCTTATAATAGCGGCAAACTATACCACAAGCGACTCAAACGCTGAAAAGATTCCGACTTACCGCAAGCGTATTCACGCACTTCACTCGTCCAAGAATGATAACGACAACTTTTAAGGGTTAACAACACGAAAATACGATACATTTTTTAACCAGGTGGGATTTTACGGCTCGCTGGCGAAGTTAATAAAGTCTTTATTAGTATATTTCTGAACAATATTCTCAAGTATATATACACTAATCAAGTAATATGTGGTGGACCGGCGGTCTACCAGCTTTGGAGATTAAGTGGACCGTCCAAGAATTTGGTGGACCCGGTCCTCCGGTCTACCGTTAGTGTCGACCCCTGTACATTTCAAATCACGGCTTTCGGCAACTACAATATATTTCATATTTTACCCCACATTCCATGCCACTATCAATACAATGATCATCATTATACCCCTGCAACGAAGTTAGAAGGGCTATACTGGAACCACTCTATCTGTCTGTCTGTCTGTGGACAAACAATTGTTCCTCCTACTCCTAGTTTTATTCATGGAATTTTATGAAACTGTTTACACACATGTTATACCTCAAATGAACGTGTGGTGTCTCCCAGAATGCCATTATGTTCCTTTAATATTTACCAGAGTTATGGCCCTTGACTTCTGTAGTTGGTACAATATGTTACTGAAATGGTTAATTACCTCTGAAACGGTAGGTATTTTGTATACACATATACAGTAAAATATTGTAGGCATAATACTGACAGTTTCCAAGATAGTGGGGTCAGAGGACAAAGGTCACGAATGAATTACATTACTGAAATGGCTAATTATCTCAGAAACAGTAGGTATTTTGTATACACATAGACATTAGAGTATCGTAGCCGGTCAGTCTCAAAGGTCAAAAGTCACAGATGCATTATGTTACTGAAATGGTAACACCCTCAGGCCTATTTACCTTGACAATGCTGGCTAGGGAAGCCATAGAAAATATTCAACTTTTTAATAAGAAATTCACATATGAAATCTTCACATATATTTGAGTAGGATTAATTTTGGACACAGAAAATAGGGTATTGTGTTGCCAGGCAACTAGGGCAACACCCCTGTATCTGTCACTGCCCCTGATGGTATTTCGCATTCTATTTATTGAACTCGCTACTAAGGTCACAGGGGTCAAAAGTGTCAAATACTTAAACGACTTCTTCTGAAGAATGGACAGGCGGCCTACAGTCATGATATTTGGATGATAGCTTCATTGGTAAGAGCCTAACAAAGTTTGAGATCGAAAGTGACAACATGTTTCCCTGTCTATGATGACAACAAGTCTCCCTGTCTATGGTGAACACACATGTCTCCCTGTCTAAGGTGACAACATCTCTCCTTGTCTATGGTGATAACATATCTCCCTGTCTATGGTGATAACATATCTCCCTGTCTAAGGTGACAACATCTCTCCCTGTCTATGGTGATAACATATCTCCCTGTCTATGGTGACAACATGTCTCCTTGTCTATGGTGATAACATATCTCCCTGTCTAAGGTGACAACATCTCTCATTGTCTATGGTGATAACATATCTCCCTCTCTATGGTGATAACATATCTCCCTGTCTATGGTAATAACATATCTCCCTGTCTATGGTGACAACAAGGCTCCCTGTCTATGGTGACAACATGTCTCCCTGTCTAAGGTGACAACATCTCTCATTGTCTATGGTGATAACATATCTCCCTCTCTATGGTGATAACATATCTCCCTGTCTAAGGTGACAACATCTCTCCTTGTCTATGGTGATAACATCTCTCCCTGTCTATGGTGACAACATGTCTCCCTGTCTATGTTGACTACACATATCTCCTTGTCTATGTTGACTAAACATATCTCCCTGTCTATGGTGACAACAAGTCTCCCTGTCTATGGTGACAACATGTCTCCCTGTCTATGGTGATAACATATCTCCCTGTCTATGGTGACAACATGTCTCCCTGTCTATGTTGACTACACATATCTCCCTGTCTATGTTGACTACACATATCTCCCTGTCTATGGTGACAACATGTCTCCCTGTCTAAGGTGACAACATCTCTCCCTGTCTATGGTGATAACATATCTCCCTGTCTATGGTGATAACATATCTCCCTGTCTATGGTGATAACATATCTCCCTGTCTATGGTGACTAAACATGTCTCCCTGTCTATGGTGACTCCACATGTCTCCCTGTCTATGGTGTCTACACATGTCTCCCTGTCTATGTTGACTACACATGTCCCCCTGTCTATGGTGACAACATGTCTCCCTGTCTATGTAGACTACACATATCTCCCTGTCTATGTTGACTATACATATCTCCCTGTCTATGGTGACAACAAGTCTCCCTGTCTATGGTGACAACATGTCCCCCTGTCTAAGGTGACAACATCTCTCCCTGTCTATGGTGATAACATATCTCCCAGTCTATGGTGACAACATGTCTCCCTGTCTATGGTGACTACACATGTCTCCCTGTCTATGTTGACTACACATGTCTCCCTGTCTATGGTGACAACATGTCTCCCTGTCTAAGGTGACAACATCTCTCCCTGTCTATGGTGACTACACATATCTCCCTGTCTATGGAGACAACATGTCTCCCTGTCTATGGTGACTTCACATGTCTCCCTGTCTATGTTGACTACACATTTCTCCCTGTCTATGGTGACTACAGATATCTCCCTGTCTATGGTGACTGCACATGTCTCCCTGTCTATGGGGACTACACATATCTCCCTGTCTATGGTGTCAACATGTCTCCCTGTCTATGGTGACTACACCTGTCTCCCTGTCTATGGTGATAACATGTCTCCCTGTCTATGGTGACTACACATATCTCCCTGTCTATGGTGAACACACATGTCTCCTTTTTAGTTGTGATACTTTGTATTGTTTCTCATTGTCGATTGTGACCATATATGTTGTCAATGATTTAAAGCTGTTGACCTGTCTGATCTGTTCACATGTATCTACCTTTCTATTGTGGCCATTCCTTTTTCGATGTTTTCTATATAGAGCAGGAGACTATTTCCACACAACACACCTTTACATGTCTGTCCTCAGTATAATATTTTACAGTCTACTGATTTGTAAGTACATTCTTATAATTTTACATGTAAATGTTTTATATATAAATGTCAACCTTCAGTCCTGGTATTTGCTTTATTGATACCTCGCCCTTAATTCTGTAATGAGATGACATATTATATTCTTTTTCCAGCATCAGCCTGACTATAAACCAAGATGGCAGCCGCCAACTACCAGTCTTCTAAAGAAACCACAAACTTCGCCCGGATTTGCAGGTTGGTCATTGATGTCATCCCTGACTTATTCCGAGACTTGCTTATCGCTCGACTGGCATCAACAGGACTCACTTATGTACTTACCAACCAGAAAGGTCAGGTCTTCCCCTTGTTGAATAGACAACAAAAGAAGATTCTGTATCCTCAGGGTGGGCTGTTTCAAGGTTCTGTTAAGGATTTGGACACATCACTTCTTTACATCCTACTTAGAAACCTTGGAAATATTCCACCTCATCAGAATGGTTGGGGGAAGGTACCGGGTATAGCAGACAGATCACTGTCAGCAAACATCGACCGTCTACGTGAGCAGCGCAATGAGGCATATGCACATGCACCCAATGCATCCCTTTCTGATGGAGAGTTTCAGGCAAGGTGGGACATCATCCGCCAAAGTGTGGAGGAAATACAAAACAGTGAACTGAATACAGGGCGGTTTGTGGTGGCAGTGGATACTACATTTACCATGAGGATGGACCCCAGTACAGAAAAGAATTTTATAACACTTATAGCACAGATCGAAGGTAATTGTAAACAAAGGCTGATTATATATACAGGATAAATGACAGGGGTCAATTGTCTTAAAAAACCTTTAAACAACTTCTTCTGAATAACCAAAAGGACTAGGATGGTGATATTTGGGCAGTTGCATGCATGGATGAAAGGCTATCAAATAATATGAATGATCTTGACCCACTTTCAAGATCACATTTGGTCAGATATGTATAAACCTTTAAATACCTAATCTCATTAAACAAAAGGTCTAGGGTGGTGATATATGGAAAGTTGCATGCTGAGATGAAGGGCTATACAGTTTGTTCAATGTAATTACCTTGTTTGACTTTCAAGGTCATAGGGGTCAAATGTTTTTAAATCTTTTAAAAATGTTGTTTTGAATGACTTATAGTCATAAATACTGATATTTTGCCTGTAGGTTTATTATAAATCACTTTTAAGGTTACAAGTGTGAGATTAATACCAGGTGAGCGATGCAGGCACATTGGGCCTCTTGTTTTAATTGGAAGATAGAAAAATTTATGCTTTTTGTATGCTGGTCAAAAATTCTGATGGGACGAATTATGGTATGGGAAAATTGTCCATCCCTCCGTCTGTCTGTCTGTCTGTGTACGTACGCAAGGTAATTAATTAAGGTACTGCTATCTGATTGGTCAATGGTTTTCGCACAACAATTAAGTCAAATATGTTTATTAATTATCTTGCAGAAACTCAAGTTTGGATATTGACTAATCAGAAGCGCTTTACAGTACATAGATATACAATTTTATACAGTCAATATAATTAGCATAAATATTAATCAATAAAATATTGAGGAATTAGTAGGAGCTGCCTTATCAGGCGCTAACTACTAGTCCTCTGCCACCTGGCTAATATCTCCCTATGTGTGTATGCCTGCGTGTGTGCTGGAGATGTATTGTGTTCTGTTTGTAGTGGGACCGTTCTTCTAACGGTATCATTTATAGTGCCACCTTACTTGAATGCTACATCACAGATACCGCAACCCCAACCCCAGACCATTTTATACTCCACCTGGGTTGTTGGAGTTGTGTGGGCAGGAAAAAACCCACTGATATTTTATTGTGTGTTGTATTTTAGTGGAGATCAGTGACATCAAAATGAGACAAGTTGCGATTACAGCAGATGTGGATAACCTCAAAGGTAGGATATGAAGCATGTAGACATAATATGTTCTATATCAGGAGGAGCTAGCTAATTGTTTCACCTCCTAAAGCCAATATCGGGGAGGTGGGAATGAATCAGCTAGTCATAGTTTCCCAACCAAACATTACTATGGGGGTAAGAGTTAGCTAGCTATTTTTCACCCAAACCAATATTACAGAAGGAGGAAATTATCGACTGGCTATGTTTTAGCCTACCATCATCTGTTGGTGGGCTATTCAAATTGCCCTCCATCTGTGGACTGCGGTCCGTGTTCTGTGGTCCGTCCATCCGTAATCCGTCTTTTCTTGTTATTCTTGTTACGGCTTTTTATCAGAAAGTACCTTCTGAAGGGATCTTTCTCAAATTTGATATGAAAATTCCCCTTGTTGTGCATGTTCACTGTTGGGACTGATCGGATGAACAAAAGGGCCGACAGGCTGCCATCTTGGATTTTGATGTTAATTTGTTATTGCTATTTCACAGGAAGTACGATCTTTATCAAATTTGACATGTAGGTTCCACTTGGTCTGAAGTTGTGCATGTTTACTTTTGACACTGATCAGATAAACAAAATGGCCAACAGGTTGCCATCTTGGATTTTGACATTGAAGGTTTGTTAGTGCTCCCCCTAGTCGCTGCACCTTTCCATGGTGGGGGGATTGAGTACCTCAATGACCTGGATAGCTATACTGGTTGGGGCTTTGTGCTCGTGGTAGGGTCACCCAAGCTAAACAGGTTGAAAGGGAGAGGTCAAACAAAGCAGCACCGTCCTTTGGCCGGGATGCAAATGCTAGGCTTGCACCGTTGTGCATTCCTTCCTGGGGGTTTGGTATACAGGTGTTTGCCTTCAGCCAGCTCTTTATGCATTCCTCTGGAATGGTCGGGCCGTGGTAAATCCATGTATATAGTGTAGATTATTCCGTCCTTTCTCTTTTCTTCCTCTTTGTTCTTTCACCTTTTTCACACCTTTAAAATTTGATTAAGCATTTGTTTTTGTCGACCATTTTTTAGCCCTAATGACCTATTTTGTGTTGATGGGCCGTTTAGCATTGATAATAATAATAATATGGTTAGTGCTATTTCTCAGGGAGAACTTAAGGGATCTTTCTATAATTTGATATGTATGTTCCCCATGATCCTTAGTTGGGCTGCATGTTTTATTTTTAAAGTGGAAAAAGTTCATACATATTTCTGTAAAAGAACACCAGGTGTGGGTTAAAATACATGTGATGACCTTGTATATTACGAATTAGGTAGACTTCCAATGTATATAGTTCGGAAAATGAAAATATTGAAATACTGGGTTAAAGTGAAAGAAAAAGAAAATTGTATATTGAAAGCATGTTATGAACAGAGAATATTAGATAATGATGATCGGATTATAAATATACAATCAGAATTGAATAAGTTAGGATTAGAGTATTTATTGAATAACTGCTATGAAAGCAAGATTGTGTATAAGTTAATAGAGCACACATTTTATGATATACATGTACAAGAAATTTTGTCAAAAATACAGAATTCCCCAAAAGGAACATTGTATCAGCATTTAGTAGATACTTTTGGTCTGCAATACTACCTGAGAAAACCTATTGATCAGTTGTATAAGAACAGTATTTCATGTATTCGCTTAAGCTCTCATAAACTCAATATTGAAAGTGGAAGATACAATAATTTAGCTAGGTCCAGTAGAGTTTGTACATTATGTGATACTCATGACATTGAGGATGAGTTTCACTTCATCCTTAAGTGTCCTATTTATGCAGATTTACGGGTGAGATAGTACCGGAAGCCATATTATCTTTAATTATATATTCATCTGTCTCTTCAGGGAAGATGGCTGGTATGTCTGTCAAACAGGAGGCCATGCAAACAGGTATGGCTGGTATGTCTGTCAAACAGGACGCCATGCAAACAGATATGGCTGGTATGTCTGTCAAACAGGACGCCATGCAAACAGATATGGCTGGTATGTCTGTCAAACAGGACGCCATGCAAACAGATATGGCTGGTATGTCTGTCAAACAGGACGCCATGCAAACAGATATGGCTGGTATGTCTGTCAAACAGGACGCCATGCAAACAGATATGGCTGGTATGTCTGTCAAACAGGATGCCATGCAAACAGATATGGCTGACCTTCAGGGTAAGTTTTTACCTTGTTCATTTGGACTCAGGTTACAATACCTTTTATAATATCTAACCATATCAGCGAGGAACAATCTAGGCCAAAGTTTATAAGTATTTTATATTAATTCCATCAGTGTTTCATGGTCATTTAATTTAGTAAAACAGTGTTTAAGCTTAATACATAGACCTGTAATGTATAGAGTAATGGTACTTACATGTAGACTATTAAAAACAAATTGGCCTGTACTCGTTTTGAAGGTCACAGATGATAGATGAATAACAGGTGAGTGTTACAGGCCAAATGGGCCCCTTCTTTAATAATCATTCCCTAGTCAGAACATGTGCTGCACATGTTATTTTCAGCCCCCTCTGATTCAAAATCGCCCAGCATCAGTGGTTAATAGTCTGTGCGTCCATCCTTCAACAATTTGTGTTATTGTTGTTTCTCAAAAAGGTACTGGATGGATCTTTCTCAAATTTAATATACAAGTTCCCTTTGGTACTTAGTTGTGCATAGCAACTAAATATATTGAGACTGATCAGAGAAACAAAAAGGCCGATAGACAGCCATCGTAGATTTTGACAGTTAAGGTTTGTTATCACTATTTTTTAGAAAGTAATTGAGGGATCTTTCTCAAAATATATGTATAGGCTACCCTTGGTCCTTAGTTGTGCATGTTGACTTTTGAGACTGATCAGATGGCGAAACGACAGCCATCTTGGATTTTGACAGTTTAATCTGAAAGAGCAAGTTCAAAACCTTTCATTTGAGATTTTTTTTTTTTTTTTATCTGGTTTTGAGTTGTTCCCCAGTGACGATCTCTGCTAGTTATTATTTATAAGGAAGCACTAACATTTTAGTTTGTGCTTGCTTGGTAACGAGTATGATTCTTCCTGGTATAAAAAGTCATTACCTGTCCAACCGGTTATCATTCTACCACTGACCATCATGCGATTCAATACATCGCGCACCCTGATCAGCAAATGATATCAAAAATCAAACGTACTTACCTAAAGACTGAAACCCTGCAAAGCTGGTTGTTACTTATCGAACATTCTCTAAAATTGTGTATCAAAAATAAAAAATATATCACTGAAAATCTACAATAAATCTTATAAGTTATCAGTCTTTAACCTGCATAGACCTGCATCCACACATGACTACTTTATTATGAACTCTAAGTCTTAGTCGTGTAGAGGCTTTACTAGCAAAACAGTCCCAGGTGTGTAGTCAACAATGTGAAACTTGATATTTGAACTGTTCTCATGAAAATAATTGGAGTTATTACTACATGTAGCAGGATATATAACAAGTTAGGCGTCAGCATTAGTCAAATGCTACCTTATTATACCCTCCCCNCCCCCCCCAATGAAGTTACTAGATATACCCCAACCCGTTGTTATTGAGTTATGGCCCTTTCTTGAAAAATCCTTGTCCTGACAACTTCTCCTGATCTACTGGACCGTTTTCAAAGTTTACAGATATGGTAACTGCCCCCTGGTGTTGTGAATCCAAGAAGTACTTTTTCATTCCGACCCTTTAAAAAGGAATTATGGACCTTGTTCATTTTTATGCTACCCGAAAATTTTCGGAGGAACATATAGTTGCCGCTTTGTCCGCCCTTTGTCAGGAGCATAACTTTACCCGCATTTAAGGTAGGATCATGAATCTTGGTGTGTACATCACTCATACTAAGGCGATGTGCACTGTGCCAGATTTAGGGCCAACTGCGCCTTATTTACAAAGATATTGCCCTTTGCTAGAATGTTGTGTCGGGAGCATAACTTTGCCTGCATTTAAACTAGGATCATGAACCTTTGTGTGTTCATCAGTCGCACTAAGGAGATGTACAGTGTACTTAATTCAAGGTCTGCAACCCGTCATTTACAGAGTTCTTGCCCTTTGCTTAATCTCCCACAAAATTTACAATACCAAAATACTCATAGACACGCATAACTTGTGGTATATAGTAGATAGAATACATTAATTATCAGTAAATTATGCCTTCATATTTCATAGGTGAAGCATATGCTATGTGTCAGACACATACATGTATGTAACATGTTAAAACATTATTTTTCTTCTTCCAAACTCCCCATTTCAACATATTTTTACCAATATGTGTCATAAATCTAACCAAATGCAATAATCACAAACAGGAAAAGCCTCCAATAAAGTTGTTTTCGGGGAGCATACAACAGTTCCACTGATACTCCTGTTTTAAGGAGTAATGGCCCTTCGTTAAAAATCTTTGTTATGACAACTCTTCCTTAACTACTAGGATGATTTCAGCAAAACTGGTTCATCTGGGCAGGACGTGCATTGAATATTTAAATAGTGGTATTTGACTAATATTTCCACTTTTGTGAGATAAAAGATATCTTTTTATGTTTTCCATTTCCATTTTATTCAACTGATCTGGTAAAAAATATTGGTTCAAAATCAGGAAAGTGTTCTATTTATAGTAGAGTCACCTTGCGCACACGTTGAACAAATGATAATTGGTATGATGGGTAATGCGCTTTTAGCTTGTTTATTTACAGAAAAAGGGGGCTAGTGTAGTCACCTTGGCGTCGGCATCCCACTTTATTCACTCAAATTAAAGTTTTTGGGCAAGTTTTTTCCAGATAGTGCTGGATTATCACACTCCAATTCCACCATTGTCTATTATAAGATTGGGGTATTGGTATTGAGTGTAAGTAATGTGCTGAACCTTATTTTAGTGGCCAAAAGCAGCTTAAGGATGTACTCTTCTGAGGTTTCAATCACATTCAAGTCTCGTTTTGATCTGGTGTAATAGGTTTTTGTAATATTTAACAAATTATGATCAAATTTATAAGCAAATACGCATCTGAAAAATATGTCAAAAAAATAGATGCCTGTTGTTTGTAGAACTTTTTTTACAAGAATTTAAAAAAATTACCAATTCGGCGGCCATTTTGGAAATGTGTATTTATGTGTATTTCTTGCACTTCAAAAAAGGCCAAAATTTCACCATTTTTGACACTATATTGATCACTTAAATTGTCATTGTGTCGCCATTTTTAATTGTAGCAGGTTCAATTTTGCTGTACAACTTTATAATGTTCAATATGATAAAAATAATATGCAGCAAACTGGAAAATTATACATTATTGATATTTTTTTACGTATATAGTGTAACTGAAGCACTTTTGATTTTTGACCCCGAAAAAAGTAAAAAAATAACACAAATGATAACGGGATAAAAAAAGAAGCACACTGACCACCCATTTTTGTAGATGTTTTAGAAAGAGGAACACATTTTCACTTAATTCATTAAATATTAAAAAAAGTTAAATACCAGAACTTTTTATATCAAGTGTTTAATCTGTAAAAAAAATGGTAAATAATGAGTATGTTTTCATTAAAAAATAGGGGGTAGGGGTAACTAAAATCGGCTTTCTGAGTTAAAAGAATAAGATTGAGAAATTTTACTTCCATAATTTAAAAGAAAACAATATTTTCATCAATTCTACAAACATTCATACATATCTGATAACACACTTGGAAGAAATTGTATGAATTTGTTCTGCAAATGGTCAAAACCCCAAAATCACCTAAAATCACATGTTGTGTTAAATTGGTATCTTTGACCGATCATAGCACAAGAACGAACACGCGGACATATGTATTTTTTTGCATTTTCTACTATGCCATTAATTCCTTTTTCCAAAAATCCGTATAAGAAAAAAAGTTTAATACAGGAAATTTTTGACTTCTCAGAGGTGTACATCCTTAACTGGACTTAGTTAAAGTTTTTGGGCAAGTTTTTATGTGTAGTGTTGAATCACCGAAATCAGTATGCTGTTGACTATTTCACGTTGTCTAGTCATCTCTTCATTAGAACTGTACAACATGTTAAGGTACAGCAAAACCTGTTATATTGCCACTATTTGTTCAAAGAAATCTTTGCATAATAAAGGGGTTTGGCAATAAATTGACGGAAAGGAATTCTTAAGAAAAACAGAATTAAGGGACCTTGAAATATGTTGGCGGTAAGCGAGGTGGGACATGACGGGCATTATATCAAGGTTTTACTGTACACGTGTTTCTATTTATGTTTGCTATAATAATCTATATCTCCAAAAGGCGAGCTACAACTGTATGTTGTTCTCCAACAGCTCTTGATATACCCCGGGAGACCCCTACTCGTTACCAAGCACATTCTAAAATGTCTGTGCTTCCTTAGATACAGCAGCCAGAAAAGAGCAGAAAAAAAGTTTTTAAATCTCAATTGAAAGGTTTTTAACTTGCGCTGTCAGATTTAATGACTGTTTTTGCTCTTTCTAAGACAGTGCTGGAGGTGTCTCTCTCAAATTTGATTTGTAGGTTCCCCTTAGCCTTTAGTTGTGCATGATTAGTGATTACTTTTGAAATTGATCGACTATCTTGGATTTTGGTAGTTCAGGTTTGATATTTCTATTTCTTGAAAGTACTGGAGGGATTTTCCTCAATATGAAGGCTTCCCTTGGTCTCTAGATGTGCATTTTTAGGTGCATTTTTAGGTCACCTGAGCTTTAGCTTAAGTGACCTATAGATATCCGTCTTCGTGTGTTATACGTCGTCCATTAACATTTTACATTTCCAACTTCAGCTGAAATACTGTCGATGGGATTTCATTGATACTTCATGGGAATATAACTGACATCTCCCTGACCAGGTGTTGTTATTTTTCTGGTTCAATCAGAAATCAAATATGGCTGCCACAGCCACTATTTTGAAATAACTATTTCAAACTTAGAAGTCCAGTTCTACTTGGCCAATTTAACTGAAACTTGGTACGAAATCTAATATGGCCGCCACGGCCACCATTTTGAAAAAAAATATTTTAAGCTTAAAATCAAGTTCTAATAGGCCGATTTAACTGAAACTCGGTCTAGGAATGATCAACTCATGGTCCTGACAAACTGAACTTAACGTTATACTTAACTTTTATTTACTCAAATTGGTAGGGATGATTGACATCATTATCTCCACTTTATATTTCAACAACAATAATAAGTACTGTAGGACTCGGGTGACCGTCAAGGCCCATGTGTCTCTTGTTACTGTAGGACTCGGGTGACCGTTAAGGCCCATGTGTCTCTTGTTACTGTAGAGACTGATTGGAATGACAAAGTGGCCGACAGGTGTCCATCTTGGATTTGACTGTATTGTTAGCTCTATTTCACAGAAATTACTCAAAGGAATCTTTTTCAAATTATATATATATATGTTCCACTTATTAAAAATACCCCTGGCCCTAATGAGAATTTATTCCTATTTTTTTTGCATTTTGCATTACGAAGTTTAAGATAATGTACAAGATTTCTGTTGAGGATTTCCAGCATAGGACTAGGTGATAGTCACTGTAAGAAATTGAAGATCAAAGAATGTATAAGATCATCTTTTGTAGATCTGATAAAGATCCTTTCATGGTGGGCACCAAGCTCCTTCTACGATCTCTTGTTTAAGTTAATTTAAAATACAAGATGGCCACATGCACTTTCTTGGCTCAGAGGTTTGAGACTGATGAGCATAATGAATAGTATTTGTAGCAAAAGTAGCGTCAAACACACCCTGGAGGTGATATCTGATTATATATGTGTAAAGGAATCATCGTCTATGCCATACAAACTTCACCCATTTATATTTCTATCAATCCAATACAGGTCACATCAGAGAGGAATTTGGTGCTGTCAGGGGTGCAGTTGGTGCTGTCAGGGGTGCAGTTGGTGCTGTCAGGGATGCAGTTGGTGCTGTCAGGGACGAATTTGTGAAAGAACAACTTAACATATCAGCAAACAGGGGTATGATGGACAGCAATAAGTTACAAAGTTTTACAAGAAATGCAAATATCAGGATCACATATCAATGTAACAAAATGTCAGGGTAACATATTTGTAACAGACAACCTCAGTCATAATGTGTCTGCTTCATTCTAAAAGAAAGAATGCAAGATTGACACAAGCTATCATTAATTGAAGGAGAATAATTTTTAATTTAAAGGTCACTGTTCTAAGGGCCTGGTGAGCTAATATGCCTTGGCGTGGCATCCGTCGTGAACTTTTTACTTATAAAAACTTCTTCTTAATCATCAAAAGGCCAAAGTTGATGATATTTGGCAATTATCATGCTGGGATGAAGGGCTACCAATGCAAAAGTTTGTTCAAATAAATGACCTTCTCCCATTTTCAATGTCACAGGGGTCTACTAGTAATATGTTGAAATCTTTAAACAACTTCTCCTGAATAGCCAGAAGGTCCAGGGTTGGTCTGTAGAATGTTAAGAGTGAGAGGCTACCATGTTTATTCAAATGAATGACCTTCACCCATATTCAAGGTCACGTACATGGGTGAAATATGTAAAAACAAAACAAATTGACTTCAATGGTACATGTACATGGTAAAATATGTATGAACCTTTTAAAGATCTCCTCTCAATAAACAAGAGGTCTAGGTCAGTGATATTTGGCAAGTTGCATACTTGGATGAAGGGCTATGAAGTTTGTTCAACTTAATATCCTTGTTTGACTTTCAAGGTCAAAGGGGTCAAATGTGTTTAAATCTTTTAACAGGTTCTTTCGAATGACTTATAGTCCTCGATACTGGTATTCTGCCTCTAGCTTTGTTTTAGTCCACATTTGAGGCCCATTGGGCCTCTTGTTGTATAAAAACGAGAAAATTCAGATTTGTTATTGACCATTCAACTGCTCTTATGATACAAATTGCAAAAAGGATGATTATATTTTGAACCCTACACAAACAGTACTTCAGATAGTTTTGTACTTCAAAAAGGAAAATGCAATTACAAAGAAGTGTTCAAATGTTCAATAAAACTCTGCCAAAGTCAAAATAAAAGTTATTTTGTACTTAATTTCATTAATTTATTTCAATTAGATAGGGTTTTATGCCGTGAAATGCACCCCGAATAAAACCTCCCTTACTTTTACCCGAATTCCTTTAAAATTGTTGTAAATCTCGCAGATTGGCCTACAGGAAATCTGGCATGTATATAAACGGAATGAAATAGCACACTGCCGATACGGAATTAATATAAATAAAATAAAAATAAAATTGTAACTTAAATTATGAAATAAGTATAGTCAAATTGGACTGAAAGATAAAAATTGGGAATAATAATTGAAGACCGGCAGAAAATTGGCATGTTACTTTGTGATAAATATAAACAATATCAATTATCAGCTTGCTCTTAACATTGAATTCCTGGTATGTAGGATCCCTTCACTACTTGAAAGTCTGTTTTCATGCATCCACTTTACAACTATAGGGATAAATCAACCTGCCCACACCATGGAGCACGGATATATACATCACCAGTACAACAGTCCATATCACAGGGGCAGAGTTTTGTGGTGACATGTTTGTGTATACAATGAGACCTGTGTAAGGTTGTGTGTTGGTTCAGCGTGTTGCTGTGGTGACATCTGATCCTCCATACACTAGTACTTTTGTCAGTGCTCTGTTGTTTTGAAGATTTGAGAAATATAATTTATACACAAAAGATTTTACTATTCATAATCTTATTTCATAGACAAAAGTAGAGAAGAGATTAAAATTACCTAGATAGAACTAAAGAAGATCTTCCGATGTTGGGCATCAACATCCTGCCGGGATCTCTTTATTTTCTGTCCTATATCTGAATGGTTGCTTTGTAAAGTATCTTATGGCATGAATCCTTGTATTTTACAGGCAGGGATCCCAAGTTGTCAGCTTTAATAGGTGAGTTTGCTGAGTAGGGTTGGATATGAAGATGTTTGCTTGATGGCAGAGAGATACAGCATGCCTTGTATAGGAACAAAACCTCTTCGGGACAGGAACTGAGGAAATGTTTCAAGTGTCATTGTCTAAATATTTAAGAGCATGTGGAATAATTGAACCTGTATTTTACAATAACAATTCATGTTATCATCCATCAAGGCCATATGAAACTTGATACGTGATTACGTCAAGTTATCATTGTGGCTAACTGATGCATCGTCTATGGTGCAGCATCTGTCGTCTGCCAATCAATTTTATAAGCTCACCTGGTCCAAAGGACCAAGGTGAGCTTATGCCATACCGTTGTTTCTGTCAACAGTCGGTCAGTTGTTGTCAACAATTTCTTAAAAACGATTTCTTCTTTTAAACTGCTGATTGGAATTGAATGAAATTTGATGGAAATTCGAAATTGTACAAATGGAGGGGCTGAGGGGCGGGGCCAAAAGAGGTTATTTGGCCATATTGCTTTAAATAACTTCTTCTGTGGAACTAAGAGAAATTTGGTCGGAAGCATTCTCAGGTTGTTGGGATTCAAAATTGTAGAAATGGAGGGGCTACCCCACTGGGGGACTGAGGGTGGGGCGAAAAAGGTGTAATTTGGCCATATTGCTTTAAGCAATTTCTGCTCTGGAACAATGGGATGGATATCAACCATATTTAAATGAAAGCATCCCTAGGTGGTGGGGAATCAAAATTGAACGAATGGCAGGGCTGACCCCCAGGGCTAGGGGGGGGGGGGGGGGGGGGCAAAAATGGGTAATTTGGCAATATTGCTTTAAGAGATTTCTTCTCTGGAACTAAGAGAAGGATATAAACTATATTGATTGGAAGGATCTGTTGGGGATTCAAAATTGTACAAATGGAGGAGCTGACTCCTTTGGGGGCTGAGGGGCAGGCCAAAAGGGGGTTATTTAGCCATAATGATTTAAGCGACTTCTTCTCAGGAACAATGGGATGGATATCAACAACATTAGGTTAAGAGCATTCTTTCGTGGTTGAAGATTAAATATTGTACCAGTTGATGGGATAACCCCTGGGTCTGAGGGGCGGGGCCATGAATTGTTTTAACTTGGACATTATCCAGATTCCCACCCCGTAACCATATATACCATTGCGTGGCATAAAGATCCAGGTGAGCGATACAGGCCCTCTAGGCCTCTTGTTTATCAAAGAACTTCTTCTTGAAAAATGACTCAGGGTCTTGATATTTGGCAAGAAGATACCAGTCATAGAGTGAAATAAAGTTTCCCCATATAATATCCTTGATTTCCTATCAAGTTCACAGGGGTCAAATATGCTAAAAAGTTTAAACAACATATATATATATATATATGGGGGGGGGGGGGGCTGAGGGAGATACTAGGTTGAGGCCTTCACTCAATCTTTTATATAACTTGGTACACATGATCAGTTCTTAAGATAATTGTACTCGTGTGATTTAATTTCGAGATTTCTATTGAGGGTCGTTTCTTTTTCTGATTTCGTTTCAAATTTTGCCTGAAATTAATTCGTTATCTTGTGGCTTTTTGGCATCAATGCTTTAAATCAAATTATAAAGCAATGTAACTATTGTTTGTAATCAAAAAGAAAAGGAAAGATTCAGAATTTGAATGAATATCAGTCAATTAATTTTTTTGTTGACAGTCTGTTGAAGCAACATTTCTTCATTTCCCTTCAAAAGACAACCGAGTTTCTGACATGATGAGAATGATTTTAATCAATAAAGCTGAATTCCAATACCATGAGTACTAATAAGTTTTATCACCGAAATCTGTATAGACACTGAAAATAGAAGCATATTACAAATATGAGGCTATTGGAAAAAGTAAACATGATAGACCTGCTCTGTCATTGAGTAAAATTCAACGACGATGAGCGGTAGCCCGTGAACACTTATCAAAGTTGAGGAAAGCACCCGCCTAGCTAGTCAACATTTTCTTCATTAGCGTATAAAGAAGAATCATGTTTTTTTTTGTTTTTTGTTTTTTGTTTTACATTTTCAGCATCATCATCAATAATACAACAAACACATATTATTTTCAGAAAATTTTACAAGTTTTTGTTAGGAGTGGGAACCTATTGATTCATTGAGTAATTTTTGATATGTAGAAATGTTGCTTTAATGTAGATTGTCACATAACAGTCTTCCCAAGATTTCATATAGAAATTTGTACTGTTTGATTTCAAATCCTTGAATACTCGATCATAAATGCTGCTCTTTCATACTGTTATGTGCCCTCAATACCAGATATTATTTATTTTTATAGAAACAACTACTGCCAGGATAATGAACGAAAAAGAATACAAGTACACTCCTACCAAAAGTTTCTCCGATGCTCGCAAGAAGTTGATGAAGAACAGAGTTGTCGTAATTAAAGGGAACAGTGGAGATGGGAAGACATCCATTGCACTTGAACTTCTCCGTTTGCTGTGCCATGATGTGGAGGACGGACAACAACGTCTACAGCCACTAGAACTGCATGATATAAAGGACTTGGATTTGGTGGCCCCGATGTCACAATTAGTTATTTATTTAGATGATATTTTTGGGAAGAATGTTGTGTGTAAACAAGATGTGGAAGAATGGGAGAAAAGAGTAGAATCTGTCATAGAATCAAAACTTTGTGGAAATGAGCACGCCGAGGGCAATTTTCTGATCATTACAATTCGCAGTGGAATTTTTAATTCTTTAAATAAATCTTGCTTGGAAAAAGTTTTTATTGAACAAAACACTGTTGTCCTTAACATAAATGCAAAAGAAAAACTGGGATTGTTAAGATTGTACAAACCGAAAGATAATTTTGTTTCATGGAAAGAAAGTGAAGAGAAGGAAATTGTCAAGTGTGCTCCCGACATTGGGTTTCCACAATGCTGTAGGTTGTTTAGAGATTCACCTGCTTTGCAAACAGAGAGGGTCAATTTTTTTAAAAGACCTTTTCATTTTCTGAAATCTTCATTATCTAAATTGGAAGACGGAAAATGTTATGGTCTGATGTATCTGTTCCTTAAGGGAGGCAAAGTCATGGAAGATGATTTAGACTCTCACAATGAAAATATTGATCAGAATGTATTAAAAGCAGCATTTGAAGTTGATGTAGTGGAAGTTACCCCAACAACTGAGCTTGTTCACAATAGGTCTATGGGGAGGAAAATAGAATTTGTGAAGAAGTCGTTAGATAGTCTGTTGGGTTGGCTGGTGAAAAAAGAGCCTAACGACAAACAAAGAGTTTGTTACCAATTCAATCATGACTCCATTGAGGAAACTCTGGCACTTTTGTATGGGGAAAAAACTCCCATTGGCTACATACAGAATTGTCCATGCAAGTTTCTCAGTTATGTAACTACCTCAAAAACCACTCCAAACAAAGTAGTTATATCATCTGATAATCAGTACAATGTTTTGTATAAACGTTTACTCAGAGAGTTTGAATCTGTCTATTCTAGTAAACGGAAAAGTGACAGGTTTTATAGTAAATATCATTCTATAACTTCATTAGATGTTTGGACAGATTTTCAGTTTCTGCAGGGATTTATCAGATGGCTAAGTGATAAGAATGTTGACAAAAACTTGTGCAATGAAATAAAACTTGCCTTGTTAAATGGAGCATGTTCTTCTGGTTCAGAAGAATGTGTTTCATTCCTCCTGTCGGAGGGTGTGAAACCTGAGAAGGAGACAATGTTATGTGTGGTAGAGGGAGGGAGAGTGAATATATTATACAAAGTGGAGGGAATTATACTCCAGTCCTTGTATAAAGATAAGTGTGAGACAGTAGAGGGTCATGTGGTGCATAGAAATTGTGTGTTTGCTCAGGACATATGTCAGTTAGTGAATGAGAGGGGGCAAACAGTGTTACATTATAGTTGTTACCAGGGACACATGGAGGTTTGTAAATATCTGTGTGAGTCGTACCCAGCACTAACTACAGCTGTAACTAATAACGGGGCAACAGTGTTACATTCTAGTTGTTACCAGGGACACATGGAGGTTTGTAAATATCTGTGTGAGTCGTACCCAGCACTAACTACAGCTGTAGATAATAACGGTAAAACAGTGTTACATCATAGTTGTTACCAGGGACACATGGAGGTTTGTAAATATCTGTGTGAGTCGTACCCAGCACTAACTACAGCTGTAGATAATAACGGGGAAACAGTGTTACATTATAGTTGTCACCAGGGACACATGGAGGTTTGTAAATATCTGTGTGAGTCGTACCCAGCACTAACTACAGCTGTAGATATGTACGGTAAAACAGTGTTACATTCTAGTTGTTGGTGGGGACACATGGAGGTTTGTAAATATCTGTGTGAGTCGTACCCAGCACTAACTACAGCTGTAGATATTTACGGTAAAACAGTGTTACATTCTAGTTGTTGGTGGGGACACATGGAGGTTTGTAAATATCTGTGTGAGTCGTACCCAGCACTAACTACAGCTGTAGATAATGACGGTAAAACAGTGTTACATTATAGTTGTAGTGAGGGACACATGGAGGTTTGTAAATATCTGTGTGAGTCGTACCCAGCACTAACTACAGCTGTAGATAATGACGGTAAAACAGTGTTACATTATAGTTGTAGTGAGGGACACATGGAGGTTTGTAAATATCTGTGTGAGTCGTACCCAGCACTAACTACAGCTGTAGATAATGACGGTAAAACAGTGTTACATCATAGTTGTAGTGAGGGACACATGGAGGTTTGTAAATATCTGTGTGAGTCGTACCCAGCACTAACTACAGCTGTAGATAATAACGGTATAACAGTGTTACATTCTAGTTGTATTAGGGGACACATGGAGGTTTGTAAATATCTGTGTGAGTCGTACCCAGCACTAACTACAGCTGTAGATAATAACGGTACGACTCACACAGATATTTACAAACCTCCATGTGTCCCTGGTAACAACTATCATGTAACACTGTTTTACCGTCATTACCTACAGTTGTAGTTAGTGCTGGGTACGACTCACACAGATATTTACAAACCTCCATGTGTCCCTGGTAACAACTATCATGTAACACTGTTTTACCGTCATTACCTACAGCTGTAGATAATAACGGTATAACAGTGCTACATTCTAGTTGTATTTTGGGGCACATGGAGGTTTGTAAATATCTGTGTGAGTAGTACCCAGCACTAACTACAGCTGTAGATAATAAAGGGTGGCATTGTCTACATTATATAGCTAGGTATACGTCAGATGTAGACCTGTTCACTAAGTGTGAAACTCATGTAAAACGGTACCTAGAATCAACAGGACATAAGTATGACATAACAACCATACTAACCAATCAGGGAAGTTCTGTTTTAGACTTGGCAAAGAACTGGGGGACAGGAAACAACCCTTTGTACGAATATCTTGTCTAATTGTTTGGTAAAAAAACCCACAAAATATTCTAGTTCCAGTTCTACTATATAGTGACCACCTTCAACTAATACTCCGTTATTTCTGTATGTTATGTACATTCACATGTGTATCGCGATACCAAACAAAAGTAAAGTTTAAGAAATCTGTTAATTACTTGTCAATGTTCACATGAAATAAAATCAAAGTTCTCTTTCAAGTCGCGTTTTTCTCGCCGGTGTCAGAGGGTGACCTCTAAGACGGGTTCGACGATTTTCAGGAACGGGCAGGAACGTGGGCAGGAACGGGCAGAAATATATTAATTATTGTATACTTTATAGAATATATATATTAGATATGTTTAAGTATCATTATCGGGTATAAGATATATTTGTTAAAAGATTTGCAACGAATTAAGAGTATTGTATTGATATGGATTGGGCAGGAACGGGCGACGATTTACAGGAACGGACAGAAACGGGCGACGATTTACAGGAAAGGGCAGAAACGGGCGACGATTTACAGGAACGGACAGAAACGGGGCAGGATCGGACTTATTTATATATATTTATTGTATATATTTAATTATCCTTATCCGCTTTAATGATATGAAAAAAGTCGAAAGTGAAAGTCACTTGCATTAAGACGAACTCTAAAACTTTTCAGTGAGAAGACAAAACAAAACTTATATGGAGTTAATTTATCTTTTCACAATGATTAAACGTCCAGGTAAGCTCAAGGAGAAGAAAGTGATACTTACTATGGCTTTATATGTCTCTGAGCCAAGTATACATAGCAGATTATGTACTTTTATCACGGAGTAAGTTCGTGCTTTTATCATCAAATATTTTGAGTAGCCCGGGTTAAATTTCAATTTTCAAAGGCCGATGTGGTCAAAACTGATTATCTAATACCGTAATAGTAGACATAGACTTCTTGTTCTAACAAAAACGTACATTGATGACTCTGTCGGCAAATTTCTTGGCCATCAATCACCTGCGAAACAAGCCAGTCATCGTTACATGTACAGGACCCCAACTTATCAGTGACCCCGCTCTCCTGTGAACACATAAGCTGAATGGTGAAAACGTCAAAAAACAGATTATGCAATGGTATTTCACCTAACAGCAACGCAGACGGGTTTTTTTTTTGACAATAAAACGTTTCAAATTTGTATTATCTGGTCTTATATATTTACCTGTAACTGTGATTTAGATTAGGACCAGTATACACCTCATTAGTGTACCTTCAGAACCTTGGATTGTTAAGTGCCCGGGATATTTGCCAGCGTCCAGCGTCCGGAATGGAGCCGTACTCTAGATAACAGATTTCTGTTATTTCCTAATTAGTGTCACAAACTCAGGGTTATTAATCAATCAATCAATATTTCATTATAGTGTCACGCATCATTGAATTCACAAACAATCATTCATAAAATATCATATACAGCGAGTTTATAAAAGATGCCAAGCCGATAACGGCTTGTACATCATGTGGAAAATGAAAGTGAAGACCTATATGGCTATAATATATATATATATATCCTCATAGTGTATTACATGTAAAAAAACCTGATAGAATCACATATCTTTCTTCATCACATTACATTACAGTTAAATCAATATTGCGATACATTATAATTTACAATTGTATATTTATACACATTTGAAAGCGACCGCCTCCGTCTCATCATAAAATAAATTGTTTTAGAAAGTGAAAATTGAAGCGCATTATCCTGCAATGAATAAAACAACTTTTCAGTTGAAGTAAGTTCATTAAAATAAATAAAGGAGTTCATTGCGTTTTTGAATAGCTCATATCTGATATCACTATACACAGGACAGTCACATTTTTTTACATAATAACATTTTATTACCCATATATATGCATCCATCCATGTGTCTGACATATATATGTCTCAACCATTCATTGCTATGTCTCCTGTAAAAATAGAACACATATCAACCTTCATCACATATGGTATATATCTTGATGCTGGAAACAATATCTGCACATAATTATATATAATATAATATTATATATTTGCACAGACTGTCGACTGAGTACATTGCATTGTCTTTATAAGAAAGAGGAATTAAGATAAGAGATTGAGAAAATAAAAAGAAAGGGAGAACAGAGAACATAAAAGAGAGAAGAAATGTAGGAAGAGTTGGGGCGAGATGGTGGAAAAAGAGGTGGATATTCACTCATGTATATTATATTATATATAGGTAATATATCGGCTTTGTGAAGGGCAGAAATTAAAATATGTATGATTGAGTATGTCTTTAAGATAATAATTATAATGACAATATGATAATAAAAATGTATTACAACTTAATTAGTTTGTTCCATTTTTTCCAGTCATTTTCAAATTTATGTTCAGCTTTTTCATCCTTACCATTAACAATGTAATTTTGAATCTGATAGTTGTCTTTTATTATGTTTACAAGAGCGTTTATATTTAATGAGTTATGTAAACAGCTCATTCTGTAAATATACTGCTTTATAATGATGATGATTTCATTATTTACTCGATTACTGGGAAGAAAATTCTGATGAAAAAGACCAAAATGAACAGATTTTTTGTTTACTGAGAATGGGACTAAAAGAGCTTCCATTAATGTGTCAAAACTTTCTAGTAATCTTTGTACTTCCTCACATTCCCATAATATATGAGTAATTGTTTCCGGTTCAGAGTTGCATAGTACACAAAGAGGGGAGACAACTACTCCAATTTTAGATAGAAATGAGTTAGTTGTAAGTACATGATGAATCACTCTATACTGGAACCACTGGAGTTTTGTATTTGTTGTTACACAGAATGGCATTTTGTAGATTTTACACCAGGTTAGTTTATCCATGTTGTCGAATATAGTATTCCATTTTCTGGTGCCGGATGGTATCTTGTCCGATTTGATTATGATGTTGTAAAACATTTTTGACCCTTTTTTTATCTCTAAGAAAAAAATCTAAATTGATAGGTATGTAGGGATAAATGATCTCATATCTGTATGTATTATATGATGAAATAAAGTCTTCAACTGCAGACAAGACCCTGATACTGTAAAAAAAATGTGTTTACTTGGTATTTTTGAATAAATTCTACAAATGTGTAAAAACAAACCTGTGCTAACCTCCTCAAAACAGCCCTGTTTTAATCCCCTTCCGACGCTGAACCAATCAGTGAGACGATCATTTGTACAGGGACTTGATAGTCTTAATCATATAACCGTTCACTCCGAGACGTTTCAGTTTTATCCATAGAAGATCACGATCTACTGTGTCGAACGCTTTTTTCAAGTCTATAAAGCAGGCATAGGTATACTGTTTTGATAGTTTCCGATTATTAATAATAGAATGTAATACGTAAATATGATCTTGACATCCTCTTTTTTTCCGGAATCCGTTATGCTCGTCTTCGATAAGATTGTTTGCCTCTAACCACTTAGAAATTCGAGTATTTAACACGTCACAGTATATTTTATACGGGGTTGAAAGTAAGGTGATCCCACGGTAAGAGAGAGGTATTCTGGGGACAGTAGATTTCGGTTTAATGATAGGGTTAATCATGCCTTTCTTCCATTCATCCGGCACAGTTCCATTTATTAAACAATTACTGATTATATCGAATAACATTGTCGTACATGCGTTATTTTTTAAAACTTCAATAGGGATGCCGTCCACCCCTGCGGCCTTGTTAAGTTTTGCGCGCGAAACTGCATCGTCAACTTCCTTATACGTAATAGGCTGGTTAATGTTGCTCGTGTCGCGCTCTGCAGTATAGTGATCACGCGATGTATACTTATCCGTTGAATCCTCGTGACTGGTTTCATTATACAAATCGCTGTAATCCATTTTCCATTTATTTAATACACGTGGAATATCATCACAAATGTTACCGTTATCATCCACAACCTCCATCCTTTCATTTTGTATGCCAATCTGACCTATTTCCCGCCAAAAATCACAAGATTATTACTTTTGAGTTTGTTCGCCAGATTTTGTTGATGGGTTAGTTGGTAGATGCGTTTGTGTTTCCGAAGTAGTTTATCGAATACTTTCCTTTCATGACAATACATATACTTGAGCGTTCGTTTTTGGTTTCCATTTCCAGTAAATCTCAGCCAAACTTTTTTCTTTCACAAACACAGTTCCATTGCTTTTGTACCCCCTCATTCCAATACGGTATACGAAATGATTTGTTTGATTTACGATGGTTTACCGACGTGTTGACCCTCATGGAGGCGCATTCCATTTCAGAATATATAAAATGCGTGAAGTCTCTGTATACTTCGTTAATATTACGTTGTTCCGATATTGACTTTTCGATATTAGAAATAGTAACGTTCACCGCTTGAATTCTAGTTTCATCTATTAAAAAGTTGCCGATGTTTTTCGCACTGTGACGTTTCATTGTGTTTTTGGTAGCCGGTTCAACGACACTAGCGACATAACATGCAGGTAATTTATATACACATTCCAAAATAGAGTGATCCGGTAGACTGTTTGGTGGTCCATTTAATTGTGAAACGGCGTCACTCATAGTAACTTTAAATTCTGTAAACCGACACAATTGTTCATACGGTACTAAGATGTAGTCCACGACCGACTTTGTCCAATGAGTGTATTAAAATAGTTGACCGGATCAATTTGTCTAGCGGACTGTTCAGGGGGTATATAACAGACACACACCAACAATTTTTCATTTGTTTGTTTATTCCGTAGATTTGTCTGTTATTTCGATGGTGTTAAATTGGCACAAATCTTCCTTATACAGAATACCTATACCGCCCGAACCTCGTTTGGCGTTGTTATACAGAATACCAGCTATACCGCCCGAACCTCGTTTGGCGTTGTTATACAGAATACCAGCTATACCGCCCGAACCTCGTTTGGCGTTGTTATACAGAATACCAGCTATACCGCCCGAACCTCGTTTGGCGTTGTTATACAGAATACCAGCTATACCGCCCGAACCTCGTTTGGCGTTGTTATACAGAATACCTATACCGCCCGAACCTCGTTTGGCGTTGCGGTGAAGATTTTGTCTATTTTGTATTTATATCCCTCAACGTTTATCTTGTCATCATTACGAAGAAAAGTTTCTGAAATAACTATGATATCATAATCTCTCAATTTCAGAATCGATTCTCGAAATGTTATATTGTCATTATCACGTGTAGACCACCCGCCTACATTCCAAAAGCAGACTCGGAGTGATTCCTATTGTGTGTATCTCGGCGCTCTCCACCGATTGTATGTGTCTGTTTGACTGGCATTAATAGTATATATATACAGTATCCCTGGGACTAAACAGGCGGAATACCCGACTGACACGCGCTACAGCTCCGCGAGGAAAACTGAAACTGGTGTCGATACAGAACACAGAAACCACACAAAACCTTCAAGAAGGTGAATATATGTGATATCTATGAATTGGTGGCATTTTTTAGACAAAAAACCCCTTGTTATTGACAGTGGTAGAACTGAGGGAAGTTTGTATGTACATGTATCACACGCTGCACGTGCACGGTACGAGGTATGCTCACATTGGACACACAGTGTATATCTAGTGATAAGTTTATCAGAAATTTCTTATATCCGTCAAAGATACTACCACAGTTTGGAAATATTTCTGTCACTGAAGTTATTTTGTTTTCGTGAAATTTTAATGGGCAAGAAGGATAGAAAAGTACGTAAGGCGAACGATAGCGCCCAGTCATCCGTATCGGTTGAACCACGGTCATACGGTTCACACACACTTGTTAACAACAATAACAGTGTGCACTCAGGTAAACAGGACCTATCAACAAGTGACATTATATCGGGTGCTCATAAGGAATTATTTGGCTCTCCCCCTATGAATAGCATGGCGTCTCATCCAGTATATTTTCAACAACCCTCCCCCGGGGGTCATCAACTGAGCGCGGCACCTAACAGCCCGGCCAATCACCTTCCCTCATTCCAATCAGGGTATGCGAGTAACATCGATAATGTTTTACATGATATTTTCAATAGACTTTCGAAACTTGACACTCTTGATTTGATCATGAACCGATAGAAAATAATAGAGGATAAATTTGCTGGTATGGAATGTTCTTTGGCTGAAGTAAAAAAGGAGCTGAAAGTTCACAGCGAGAGACTTGAAGGGGCAGATTTTGATCACTCCATCATGGAATAAAGGATGAGTAAAACAAAACAGGTAAGGGACTGGGCACGGGAGGAATGTAGTCACCAAAGGGAGAAATTTATAGAACTACAAACAAGGTCGATGCAAGACAATTTGCTTTTTTCCGGAAACCCCGAAAATGACGCCAACAAAAATTCAGAAACTGTGCTGAAAGAGTTTATTAAGTCTGAAATGGGAGTTGAGGAGGATATAGAGTTCCAAGTTGTCCACAGGCTGAGGAAGCGCCCAGACGGCAAGCCTCGATCGATGGTGGCTAAATTCGTGAAAAGAAAAGACCACGAAACTGTCCTCAAAGCCGCGCCTAATCTGCGTAACAAAGTATACTCTGTTAAAGAAGAGGTAAACGATAGACGGCGCTGTATTCAGTTTAAAGGGCAAAATGATCGACTGAAGGGAGACAAATTGTTCATTGACGGAAGGCTATACAATCCACCCCACAAGAACCAGCTACCACGACCTCCTTTGAGGCCCGCTGTGATCCCAACCGTCCTTCCGGTTCCGGTCCCGCTTTCGGTCACGATAGGAGATGGCAACCACGTGCACGCGGACACTCTAATCATCAGTACAGCTAGGGGGGACGTCACAAAAGGTCTATCACGTGACCTATATAGTGACTCTGATAATACTATTACTACTACAGAAACTGATTGTACAGAACCACTTAAACTCTCATTTCTAAATTATCAAAACTTAGTTTACCTGAATTTGCATTATTGATTGAATCCTATGATATATTAATTTTTGTTGAAAGTAAGATGGATGATTTTGATGTATTACAGCTACCACACGGGTATGCATACTTTTGTAAAAATAGGTAAAAAAAGGTGAGGAAGAAATCTGGTGGTATTGTTATCATATATAAAGAAAAATTGAAATCGAAGTTACTCTTTCACCACACTCCTTATCAAAAAACTTGATAAGTCAAGATTGTAACATGTTATTGGGATGTGTATACATTCCTCCTGAAAACTCTAAATATTCATCAACGGAATGTTTTGAAGAAATAGAAAATGAGATGAATGATCTGACTGAAAACAGTTGTAAACTAGCACTTGTTGGTGATTTTAATGCCAAAACTCAATGTAAAGATGATTTTGTACAACCTGACGACACACTTTTTGAAGCACTTGATGTAAATATGAATGATGAACTTTACAAGTATTTTTATGATTTACAAAAATTAAATGAACTTGGTGTACCATTAAAACGAGCTAGCCAGTGTAAGGCAAGATCAAATAGTTTCGGGTATAAATTGCTTGATTTTTGTAAAGAAAATAATTCATATATGGTCAAGTTGGGAAAGACAAATTAGTTGGGAAGACAACTTGTATTGATACCAGTGTCTTATTGTCATCAGATCTTTTGGAAATTGTAAAAAAAAATGAAATTCTTGATTTTGATCCTTTAATTTCTGATGTTCATTGTAGACTCGAATTTTGTTTGAAAAGAACGGAAGTGCACAATATAAATGTTAGAAGTAAGGATTTACCAACAAGTTACTATGTTAACTGGAATAATTACAAGGTATCGAACTTCGTCAACTATATTGAAGAAGATAATAATGGTACTTTAAAAGAAATTTGTTGAAAAATTGGACCTGATTTCGGGAAAACCTAGCAATTTAGTTACAGCTGTTGTAATAAATGATGTAAATACAATGAGCAATTTATTCAAAGATTCGGCAAAACATAACTTTGGGGAAAAGAAAGTTTTTCATCAAACATACAAAAGTAAAAAAAACTAGTAAACCCTGGTTTACTCGGGAATGTCATCTGAAGAGGTTAGATTTTCATAGAGCCAAACGTCGTTATAATGCCGATAAAATTCTCACAAACAAAATTACTCTTAAAAATACTGGTATAGAATACAGAAGAACTTTGAATAAATTTTATAAAATTCATCAACAGAAAATGGAAATGGAATTAAGAAAAGTGTCAAAAATAGAGCCGAAAACATTCTGGCACATTCCTAATGAAATCGACGGCACTTGTAAGGGAGAGAATGTTGATAAAAATATCAATGAATTATACAGCTACGTTAAAGATCTGAACAAGGGAGGTAACTCTACTGAAATATTTCCTGTTGAATGGAGAAATTACCGAATGTGAAATTACTTAATCCATTTCTTGTTTAAGTAACACTAAGGCTTCAGGTTAGGATGGAATCTTGAACGAATATTTAAAATCCACTGTTGAACTATTTAAACCATTATATTATAAGTTATTTAATGCTTTATTTAATACAGGCTGCATACCTGACTCTTGGAAGACAGGTGTTATAAAACCCATATATAAACGTAAAGGTGATCCGGATAATTTAGATAATTATAGAGCAATAAGTCTCGTCTCATGTCTTGGAACAGTGTTTACATCCATACTTAATATCAGATTAAATAAAATGGCTAATGAAATAAATCTTATATCTTGGGCTCAGGCTGGATTCAGGAAAAATCACTCCACCACGGACAATATTTTCATTCTACATGCCTTAACCTCAATTCATTTTTCACTCGGAAAATAGTTGTTTTGTTCCTTTATAGATTTCAAAAAGGCATTTGATTCGGTTTGGAGACTTGGGCTATGGAAAAATGTTCAGAAAAGTAAAATAACTGGGAAAATGTTCAAAGTCATTTTTAATTTAAATGCAAATATTAAATCCTGTGTTAAAAATAAAATGGAAATGATATATCTGAAATGTTCAACTGTAACGTCGGGTTAAAACAAGGGGAAAATTTATCGCTATTTCTTTTTGGCATTTATCTTAATGATCTAGAAGATTTTCTTGAAGAAAACAGCGTTAATTGATTACAAACAATAGAAACTTTAAGTGAAAATATTGGAATATATATTAAACTGTTTATAATTCTCTATGCAGATGATTCTATTATCATGTTTGAATCGGCGGAGGCCTCCAATCAGCTCTTAATACTTTTGAATTATATTGTAACAGCTGGAAGCTTGATGTAAATATCAACAAAACCAAAATTGTTATATTTTCAAAGAGAAAATGCCGAACACAGTTTCATTTTACAACATGTAATGAAGAGATAGATGTTCTTAAATCAGTCTCCTATTTAGGAGTCTTAATGAGTTACAATGAAAGTTATTTCAAAGCAGAAATGAAATTGCTGGAACAGTCCAAAAAAGCTGTTTGCTGTGTACAAGAAAATAAGAAATATTTCATTACCTGTAGACCTTCAATTATTTTTTTTTGATTCTCTATTCAGTAGAAGTATGGGGTTTTAAAAATTTAAGTGCTATTGAAAAACTACATTTACAATTCTGCAAGCGTATATTGGGTATCAAAAGAAGCACGCACGCCAAACTACATGGTTTATGGAGAGATCGGGAGATTCCCTTTATATGTTGAAGTTAAAACCAGAGTAATTATGTTTTGGTATAAATTGATAACTAGCCTGTCTGTCAAGCACTATGTATAACTTAATATTTAACTTACAAACAAATGGAATCATGGAGTTCAAATGGTTAAAGAATGTTCAGGATATATGTATAGAAACAGGTTTAAATTTTATCTGGGCGTATCAGAAAGGTTCATTCCCATTTATCCAACTTTTTGAAAAATAGGTACTACAGGTAAAAAGTTTGGGTTGGATAAGTGGGAATAGGGTATATTGTTAAAACAACAAACACTAATTGGAGCTTGGGTCAAGTGTTGGGTTAAAAATATGATACAGAAATTAAGTCCTTTTGGAAATGTGTATCTATATTCAAAGTTATTTCTATTAAGTTGATTTGAATGCTTCATTTTGTTTTTATTTGTGTGGTTTTTTTATTGATTCTGTAGTTATGATATATGCTTTCACAATAAGACTAATTTCTATTTTCAATATATTTATTCAAATAATATCAGACATATATATTATTAACAGACATATTAATTATTAAATATACAAAATGATACAAAATAATATTTATTTCATAAATTGATATAAAGCACTAGATATAAGATGATAGCAATATGAATCATTTTACATGATAGAAAAGTTACAATGTATAGTAAATTTCATATTTAAAATATTTGAATTAAGCAAAGCACTATATCAATCGAATATTATAGAGTCATATCAGTTCATTGAAGTTTCAGCAGGCGTGACACTGTGTCTGTATACTGGTAGATGTCAACTTCCCCTTGAATGAGTCGTTGTTTCTGTCGCTGAAGTCTGGAGTCTAGGATTCTGTATTTCAGCTTTCTTGTCTTTCTAGTGCCACCAGCTGCATACTGGATAAGTCGGATCTCATTTGCTGCTTGAGTGTGCTTGAGTTTTTCGATGATGACGTAGAGGTTTGGGTGTGCTCTGTGAAGTTGGTTGTTGAGTTTGTGGTGCCATCCTTCTAAATGGTTTGTTGTTCTGGGTCCAACTGTTGAGTAGTGGTTCCATTTTGCTGTCTCCATCCCGATCCATTGCTCAGTAACGTAGTCGTTGAACTTGGTGATCTTTGCGTCATCGGTCTCGTAGTCTTCAATTGCGTGGAACCATACATCATCTACTTGGTTGATGGGGACTAGTGGCAATGCTGAAGCTCGTCTAATATGTAGGTTGAGTAGGTTGTCGTTGGTGTACTGGTCTGCTAGTCCAAGTTTCTGTACCTTTCTCCATATGCGATTGCAGTAGTGGAATAGACAACCTTTGATCGACGCTTGTGGAAAGACTGTCTCTGCTGCGTTACGGGCTGAAGACTCGAAGTCGAGGAATGTAGTGGTTGGATTGAGTGGTGTGTTGTTGTTTGCTGCTGCTGTCTTAACGATCTCGAATAGGCGTTGGTAGGTGATCTGGCATTTGTCAGGTAGGAAGGCGAATATTAGTGGGTACATCTCGTCGTCTATGAGTGCATGCAGTGTGTACAGCTGGGTGAAAAGTACAGGACTGGCGTAAAAAGTTCCATGTCAGCGTTACTTAGATGGCGGAGGTTGTCTGTAGTACCAAATACCAGGATCTTGTTGTGGTCACCATCATCTGCTAGTAGGAATTGTGCTCCTGTAGTAGTCTCTTGCCATTCTCCCAGGATATTAATGGCATCACGTGTGGTTGGTAGTGGTGGTAGTTCACTGTTGCGTTCTCGGTACATAGCTGATTTGGTACTGACGAAAGTTGGTATCTGTTCAACGACCTGGTGTGTGTGATCGTCCCATTCTCTGTTTCTGAATTTGATGATCTCGCTGTCGTACAATGCGGGTAGTGGTTCTAGAGTTTTGGCTGCCTTTTCTCTGAGTGTTGCTAGAAATTTCTTGGCATCTATGTCAGCACGAGTTGTCGGGTGGTTGTGGTCTCTAGGAAATCTGGTTACCATGTTGTCTCTGGTGTTGGCTGTGCCTGGGCAATCTTTCTCGGCGCACTTCCTGTAGGCTAGTTCTGCATCTCTACCCTGTTTTCTGGTCTTTATCACATATCTGTAGCTGTTTACAGCTAAGTAGTGGCCTCTAGCATGTCAAATGTAGTCTACTCTTACTTGTGCGTTCGCCATGGTCAAACTTGAATAATGAATTTTGTCAGTGGGTCAGTGCTTATAAGCTAAAATCTAGCTTGGGATGCTTAGTGAGTAGTATTCAAAATGTATGAATAAATTAGTAGAAAAAGGCTTGGGTGCTTCTTTAACACTGTTCAAAGCTTATTAACTGTAATTAATTAGGTATATGCTCAAGTCAGATTAATTGGGACTTAAGTGAATACTACCGAAAAAATATAAGTAATTATTTGATAATGATATATCAATTATTCATGCCAAAGTTAAAGATTGTCTTATTTCTTAAAATTATTCTTTTTCCATTTAATTATATTTCTCATGAATATTTTATACATACTTTCACCTTTCAAAATGAATTAAAATTAAATAAATTTATCCACTCTATAATACTTTTCCCTCTATCCATGGAACAATTTGTCTTGGTTATTTCACCTAATGATTAAAATATACTACTAAACAAACATACCCACAGGGCATAAAACATAAAGTTGGATAAATGGGAATAGCTTTTTTCAGAAGTTGGATAAATGGGAAGACACCATCAGAAAACATGTACTGTAATAGAGATTATATGAAACTTGCTGTGAAACAAAGATTACAAGACCAGTTTATCCAAAAATGGTTAAACGATATCGAGAGCTCTTCAAGAGGATCTACCTATTCCAATTTCAAAACAAATTTTGAACTTGAAAATTACTTTGTGAAACTAAAGTCAAAAGAAAGACAAATTATTGTTAAGTTTAGAACTTCAAATATGCACTTACTTATAGAAACTGGTAGATGGATTGGAATACCCAAAGAAAACAGAACTTGTAATCTTTGTTTTAATGAACTTGGTGATGAATATCATTATCTATTTAACTGCGAACATGAATCTGTTAAACAAATAAGACAACTATTTATTCCAAATTACTACTATACTTACCCTAGCCTTATTAGAATGCGTGGACTATTTACTATATGCAATGTAAAAGTTTTATTAAATGTTAGCAAATTTCTAGAAAAACTTGAAAAGCTATTGAATGTATGTAATTAGTTTGTAGCCTTTATGCCTTTGTTATCCGCCATGTATATATGAATATGATACATATTGACCTCTTGTTACATACTTTGTATGTCTGAGAGAAATAAAAAATCTGAAATCTAAAATCTGGGAGTCGAATCAAGTTTCAACACGGAATTAGGCAACAACTTTTCATGTCATTTGGTATTTTGCTTTCGAATTGATCAAAGACGTATATATTACGTCTCTGGATTGATTTATAAGAAGCGTAAAGTAATTCCTTTTATTTATTTATTAAATTTTTAAATTGGTTAATGACAACCTACTCGTTTACCCTTCATAAGATTGGTCAGAGAACTACATCTGGAAAAATATCTAGCTTGTCCAAAACAGACTATTTCTGAGTTAATAAATTAATTGAAAGGACTGCGAATCATATACAATTCATATACTTTTTGAATTTCATAGTATTTGAGTATCTAATTTAACTGAAGGTTCTTCTCCAGCATTGTTATATAATTGATACTGTTATGTTTAACAAAATTGAATAACTACGATTTTGAAAAGTAATTTCAAATGCTCTAAATATTCCCTGTTAAATTTATATATATGATCTTAATAACACCATTTTATGACATGAATATAATTAATATAGTGAGACTGATTATTATATTTCTAACTGCTTGAGTCGCATGTATATGTTTATATGATAAAACGAATACGTTTTATTTTAGTAAAGAGATGGTTAATTTTATGATTTGATATTTCATTTCAGCAGAGACGTATAATACATCTGATTTCAGATATATTATGAGATACTCTACCGGTGTATGATTGCATGCAACTCAACTCTAATAATTTAATAGTGATCATGGCTCATTTTATTAGCTCACCTGGTCCGAAGCGTCCGTCGCCCGTCCGTCCTGACATATCAGTGTGAACACGTATGAACGGACATATTAATGTGAACACGTATGAACGGACATATTAATGTGAACACGTATGAACGGACATATTAATGTGAACACGTATGAACGGACATATTAATGTGAACACGTATGAACGGACATATTAATGTGAACACGTATGAACGGACATATTAATGTGAACACGTATGAACGGACATATTAATGTGAACACGTATGAACGGACATATTAATGTGAACACGTATGAACGGACATATTAATGTGAACACGTATGAACGGACATATTAATGTGAACACGTATGAACGGACATATTAATGTGAACACGTATGAACGGACATATTAATGTGAACACGTATGAACGGACATATTAATGTGAACACGTATGAACGGACATATTAATGTGAACACGTATGAACGGACATATTAATGTGAACACGTATGAACGGACATATTAATGTGAACACGTATGAACGGACATATTAATGTGAACACGTATGAACGGACATATTAATGTGAACACGTATGAACGGACATATTAATGTGAACACGTATGAACGGACATATTAATGTGAACACGTATGAACGGACATATTAATGTGAACACGTATGAACGGACATATTAATGTGAACACGTATGAACGGACATATTAATGTGAACACGTATGAACGGACATATTAATGTGAACACGTATGAACGGACATATTAATGTGAACACGTATGCTGATTCAGCATCCCACTTACCTCATTTAGACTGAGATAGTGTATGATACGGTCAACACGTGCATGTTGATTCAGCATCCCACTTACCTCATTTAGACTGAGATAGTGTATGATACGGTCAACACGTGCATGTTGATTCAGCATCTCAAAAATTGTTAAGCCATAATAGTTCTTGAAATATGTATTTTTTTGTGCAATAGGTTTTTGACTTTTTACAGATGTATATCTCTTTGGATTAATAGGTGTGCTTTTTATATAAGAATATGTTTTAGTGCCAAATATTGCTTTTAAATACTTGCTGTACTTTAATATCTGTACTTAAACTTGTTAGAGGTAATGTGATACTTGTAAAACTAAGCACCTAATATTTTAATATTTTTCTGTTGTAATAGGTATAATACAATTACTTTGTTATATTTTTTTATGTGTTAGTGCTATATAAAAAATGCATGTACTGAGTATGTATTTCATAGTATTTATGTTTGAATGTTTGGTAAATAAATACATAATCGGTAACATATTATAGTCTCAAGTTATCTACTTTTATGAGTTTGACTACAGCGATTACCTGTAATTAAGGTTATTGTTCTGCACTCAACACTAGTCTCACCTGGCCAACATGAAAATCTTACCTGTAGGTAACAAAAATACCAAATGTTGGCTAGGTGAGAAGACACCGTTTCATATAAAGGCTGTATTTTCACCAAGATATTCACCTGAGTTTTACATGTGTTTCATAAATTTTCTTAGATAATGTTTGCTTCAAATCTTAAAATGTTATGTCTTCTAAAGAAAACTTCAATAAACAAAAATAAGATAAAATGTCTGAAAAAACAGTGAACCATTCCTATATCTGTGCTAAATATATAGTCCCTAACCATTCCTTTGTTATTGGTAAAGATTAAAAGTTATTAAATAGAAAACAAATGATTTGACGAGGGAACATATATACAATGTACATGTTTGACGAAGGCTGTAATGTTTTAGCACTTGTAAAGCACAAATGAACGAAATATTTCTGAAAGTTATATGCCCAAAAATTAAATTATAAAATGCAGAAAAAAATGGAAACTGAAAATGTACGAAAAAAATGAAATTAAAGTAAAAAAACTTAAATGAAAGGAAACTATGAGAAAAGAAACATTCTTTAATTAAAGACAGGGAAAAACTGCTGGTTCCATGAAGAGATTCTGATCGTATTCAAGATGGAGAAGGCTGAAGTGACATCTGCACTTCTGTTGACCTAAATGAGAGTTGAATAGATAAGACCCCAGTGAAAATACATACATGTATGCAGAATTTATCAATCCTTTTTATTTCAGTAATTGTTGCGTCGTCTGTATTACCTTGTTAAATTTAACTTTAATAGTTTTTTAACTTTTACAATTTATACTTTAAAAACCCAAGTCTGTCAGTAATGTTCGATTTTGACTAACTCAAAAGATATATTTACATGCTTTCCATGGCGACAGGACTGCCAGATGTATACACGTGTATCACTCTTATCTGCATATTGTGACGTTTTTATTAGTTTAGATCTGACTTGATGTAACTTATCGAGATATTGCAAAGGTCGGGACAGATAAAACTCCCCTATATTCTAGCTTTCTGATTATTCCTTGAGTTAAAATTCTCTGATATATAGTAAAGCATTGCTAAATTTAAGGACAATTCCTTTAACTCCAATAATGCTTTGGA